CTGAATATTATGTGATGTGGTGTTGAGCACACAAAGTACTTACAGTGTTTGGAATGATAATAGCGTACTGATCGGTGAATAACCATAAGGGCATGAATGTGGTGATGTTGAACTCTGGCCAGCGGGATGCCACCTGTGAAAAAGCAAAAATAAAAACAATTGCAAAAATAATATGACGACAATTTGCTCATACAACCATTAGAGACTGTGATTGTAACGGTCTTTGTGCGCATACTTGAATCGCCAACTCTTCGGACCGCTGAGTCGGTGATGCAAAGGAGAGAGATGCGCCGACGTTTCTCTGCTCCTCCCACCCGACAATCCAGAATGGTATCTTTGTACACTCATCTTTTCTTATTGAGATTCTTGTAACCTTCGCCAATGTCGCGGGCTTTTGTCCCTTCCACCGCGTCTCCTGAATGCAAGCTATGTCCACTCTGCGCCGTTTCAACATTTCGGCCAGTTCGCTGCTGCGTCCTGTAAGTGTGCCAATGTTCAACGTGGCAATGCGCAGCGGTCTCACATGGGCTATCTTCTTTAGCCAGTTCCGCCCTTGAACCGGTAGCCCTCGTCCATTTTTCACGGTGGTCGGGCGAACCCACCGCGCGTCGCCTCCGGGGGACGCCAATCAAAAGATAAATGCAAAAAGGGCCATAATAGGAGATGAATTCCCCCCCCATCCCGTTCCAAGCCATGCCTCCCTGTTCTCTGGTTATTATCTGAAGATTTTAAAGTAATTTCCAGGTAACTCCTGCGATCACCAAAAGCAGTGCTGCACTTGAAGCTGGTGTCAAATGGCCACCATCGGTAATTCATGGAATGATCACTCCGTCGCTAGAAATGTTCGATTCGCCAGAAGTGTGTTACCCGTCTCCGCCCCATGCTCCTCCCCCAACGGTCGAGCTCTCGTCGGCAGCATCCGTGCACAACCGCTCACGCGCATCTCTGAAATCACCCGAACACCTCGAGTAATCATTTACATTGATGGGTTTAACAATTCTAACATTATCTGCCATTACTGTACATTCTGCCTTTTTACTATAATATCTAGCCATAAATTAACCAACCTCCTCGTTATTATTAATCAGAAAGGATTTACTGTGAGGTAATATCCATAAAACCTACGCGAAGTTGCAAAGAAAGGCGGGGACCAGATGACCAGTCAGATTCTCTTTATACTTTGCGATTCGGAGTTTTGGGAGATTCAGCGTTTCGAGTGAATTAGCGTGTTCCGCGAAAAAGGAAAGCATAGGAACCAACTGGCGCCTGAAATGCCTATTCGCTCCAACGCTGTTTCTACCAAAACGCCGAGTCGCAAAATACGAGACGGCTTCGGAGTTGCGTAAGTCAGGGGCACAGGCGCCTTCCGCTGGACGTGGGACTTCAGCAACTCTTTCTGGTCGTCTCTTTTCCTGCTCTTTCTGGATATCTTAGCGTGAAGTTTTTCAATTCACCGCTGATTGTTATAGTCCTGTCTCATCATATTACAGCTAACTAATATGAGATTTTCACGGGAACGAATGCGATACGAGTATTAATGACTTCATTTTCACATTTTTAACGAGTTTCCACGCTGTGACTATTAATTGTTTGATGAATTCATCCATCTGTATACGGTGTTATCTTGAATAAATTTAATCAAAACAAGAACTCAGGGTTTATTAGCTGTTTCATGATGATAACTGCTGTTTTACGCCGCAGTTCGCGTTCCGAAAGTTATCACAAGAATGCTGAGTTATGGGCAAAAGTCGTGCCCCAGGCGGGAGTCGAACCCGCACCTCACGCTTTCCGGGCGAGTGCGCAACGGACAGCGTGAGGTACGGGTTCGACTCGCGCCTGGGACTCGACTTTTGCCCCATAACTCAGCATTCTTAGGATAACTTTCGGGTTCATTAGCGTTAACTTGCGGTGTTTAATTGGGTAATTTGTGTCAAGAATAGGCAGTGGTAATGTAGTGGCGAGGTACGCTTACCAGTGGCGTGATCCTGGACCCAGATCGCGGGTCGACTCCCGCTTAGGCCAGCCAAGCCTTCAACCTCCCCCACCCATGACGGTAAATTGGTACCAGATTCGTCTGGGAGGATAAAACACTGACTTGTACATCGGCTGGCCACCGCAAGTCATTGTATAGGCCACATCGCATTCAATACTATTCTGAATGGAAGTAGAATGCGTGCCGCATCCCACAAAGGGATTGATCAACGGCGAAGACTATCCTTTCATCTTTTATTTGTGTCAAATGTAACCTTCTCGTTTATCTGTAATCACATCGGTGTCAGTGGAAAAAAAATCACTACTTATTTTGACTTGATCAGTAGACATGCACGTTAATCATATTCGTTGCATTTGTACAAACTTGCAGCTCGCTCAAAATCGAGTAAAACTTCCACAGAGAAAGGTGCACACGACATGGTCGGTCAGAGCGTGTTCATACTTCGCGATTGGGTCGCACAATCCAAGCGGATCGCGAAGTATGAACGCGTTTGTATTTGGCGCATACGAATACGATGCAAATCGATTCGTACGCTGATTGCGGGAACCTCTGTCGATGTTCTATTCGAATGAAGGGGCTGCACATAAGCATCATAGAAAAAAAATATGTAGCAGCCTATAAATGACAAAAAAAACATCGCATTATGGACAAAAACTTGGACGAGTCAAACGAATTCTGAAACATCGAAAATTCGGGTACGAAAAACCGAGTCAGTTAGAGAGAAGGCAAGTATCTACACAACAACTTTGCTGGAAAGCATAAAATTCAAACCAGGGCTGACATTTAAGAAGAAATCTCACAGGAAAACTGCAAAACAGCTGGACACTGAATAGGAAGTTGTTTTTGCACTTTTTCCAGTAATAGGCGGCAAGTTACTACGATGGTGGTCCTTTATTCAACAATTAATTGTGCGAATGACCAAACATGTTTCCAAATATCAGCTCAGGCTTCCACTTCAAAGAACGACTATGAACCCCATACCAACACAGCAAATACAGATTGGTAAAATCTACGCGTTTCCAAACTTCTTTCCTAATGTATTCAGAATGTATATAGAAGTTCAGGATTCGGCGACTCAGTGGCCTCGTCAGCTTGTGCCGGTTGTTTCCGCCTGCTCGAGCACTTCAATCGGCGCTGCACAGCTTTGCGGCGCTTTACTACCGGTTGATAGGATTCGTCACACGAATCTTCAGCGCCGATTTTATTCACCTCAGTGGATGTGACATGGTCATGTCGTTCGTCCCATTTCCATATTGCCGTCACACCGTCCCACTAAAAAAGAGTTATATAATAAACCTTGGGTACGGGCTGCCTCAATACAAAGGAAGAGGTCGAAAAAAAAATTTAATGTCATCGGGGCGTTTTGTCGTTTGAATAAGGGCTATATACCTGCGCTTCTGCAATCTGCCTCGGAGAAAACGGCCTAAGCGTCCTACTGGTTGATTCAAGGCCCCTTTTATGGCTCTGGAGCCAGAATCGCGTCGATTTGCGAAAATTCACTCGGATTTATATTTATTTACATTCACAATAACATAATTGCTCTTTGATTCTAGCCCTCGTTATCATTTGATTCAGAGTTTCCACCATGAACAATGCCTCAGTTGTCACCCACTCTAGGAGTTTGTTTTAGCAATGTACAGAAGCGCTGCGCATGACGGCCGCATGCACGCTTCGTGCAGACGGCGGTCGCCACAGATTTGGCAAAGTGCCAGAAGCGCAGCGTGCGACACGCGCTGTGCGGACGCCGGTTGGTACAAATGCGATCGTGAGATGGTAGCGGCGTAAAGCCTATGCGGCGTAAGTTGCTTTTTAGGCGGACTATAGAGGAATTTGCCTATCTCACGATCCATCCCGCGCATGTTGGGGTGGGGAAACCACTGCGCTGCGGGAGGTGAGGGCCTGTCAACCCCGCACATGCCAAGGATTCACGGGTGCGAGTGAGCTTTGTGTTTTGTCTTCAACCGCCACGCTACCGGATGTCCCCCAAACCCTCGTCCAGCTGTTGAGCGGACCTTGGGCTTCACGAAGTTCTCTGTCTACAGAACTACTTAGCTTTCCTCTCCTCAAACCCCCGAGGGGTGTCCTCAGCCATAAACGCAGTTCCCGAATAGCCTTGACACCACTAGATTTAGTCTCTTTTCCCTCTTCATATAAATTAAAAAATTGTTATTAAAATAAAAAATAAAATAAAATTATAGATTATTTAGTCTCTCTCTCTTCATATAAAAAAAAGTGAAAGAAGTTAATTGAACTCACAGCACAAGTAGCAATCTCATTGCAAGATGGGTTCCAATCGACATCACGGACGACTGCTACGTGACCTGGTAATCTTCGAGAAACTGGATTTACAGTGGAATCGTTCGATGACGACGAAGAGCTTGCCAACAGGTCATAAACTGCAATCACAAACATACAATGAACTTTTTCTCTGAAGCATTAAAACACTTTTGAGATTCAACTCACTAACGACCTCTCCACGAGCACATCCAGTATAAATAAACCGCTTGCCGGTCCTAGCAGGAGAAAATTTGGCTCTCACTAGAGTATGCAATACACTATGTCCTCTGAGAGTTATCACAGATGTGTCCCCTAAAAATTCATCAAAATCATCACAACGAAACGAATCCACACACAGACGGCACATACCTTTAAGGGGTGTGAGTGTGCAAGGAGGAGCTGGCTGCCAGCGGTAATCCCATGACTGCTGTCGTACACAGTTCACGGTCTTCCGCTGAAACAGACCATCATAACTACGATGGATCAGAAAATAAATCATAACTCTGTTAAACTAAATGCGATCGATATAATGGGGAAAAAATCTACCACTGTCTCCTCATTGGAAAACCGACGCAAATCCCACAATTTTATCGTTTGGTCCTTCGAATTGCTCAGAAGAAACCTATAAAATCATGTGTATTTTGACAAAAGGTTCCAAAGTAGGATTGCCATTCACCTGTCGTCGCCACGAGCGTCGATGTACGTAATCCCATCCCGGTGACCAGCGAACACCCCAACCGGTTGATAATCCAGTTCTCCAAGAGCACGACGATCATAAACCTGTGATAATATTATCTAACCCTCGTATAATGATGGGTATTAAAGAGGAACTGAGGGAAGGTTCAAAAGCTGCAGACAAGTATCGATTAGAAAATACAAGTGGTTGATGAGATCGGGGATTGGAAATATCCCCTTGAAATCCAGCTTTAAATTCAAAGTCAGCATCTACTCAACCTTCAACCTAATGCGTAAGGTGGCAGGATTCCCTGATAGATCCTAAGAAATAAGAGAGATGTGTTAAGCTCTCCGACAGCCCTTCCCCGCCCAGACTAAGAACTGAAGATCCGGTTCTACATTTTTTCAACTGTACAAAGAATTAATTACGAAACTCTGGTGCTAGTCCTATACATGTCTGCGGTTCAATACGCTTCGTATTGGCCCACGCTATGTTAACGACGTAGAAGGAAGGAGCTTCAGGATAGCTGAACAATTCTTCACAAATTGCGAAAACCCTTTCCAGTACAGTTGGAATAAGTTCTCTCATACCGATATTTCTTTCTTGCATTTATGCAGGAATACTGCTTTTCTGCACTAAATTCCGGGTAATTAAGGATAACTGCTGAAGTCTTTGCCACTGTCAATCCCTTTTTTGGGATGCGGCACGCATTCTAGTTCCACTCAGAATCGAAGTGGCTTATTCAGGGCGACTGCGGTGGCCCGCCGATATACAAAGTCAGTGTTATTATGCCTTCGGAGAATCTGTAGCGCAATTCACATTCTCAGCGGGTAGAAGGCTTCCACCTTACTTCCGTGTGGTGGTGAGATCGATGCTCCTGGCAATGGCAATGGCGTGTAGACGCCAAGTGAAGATGTGGCAGAACGGTCTCAGCAATAACGTCGTTACATTAGCGCTAACGTATCGGAGCGCGACTCTATAATGGACTAGCGTCCAAAACCCGAAGATTAACGACAAAACCTTTGTTAATACAGTCATCGGCTTTAATCTTTCATATTATCCATGGAATTCAAAATTATATATGGAAAAACTATTAAGTCGGATTCGCTGGGGTAACTGATCAAAGAAACTGAATGGTAGTCAAGATAGTTGAAAAAATTTCAAAATACTTGCGTACCTTTCACAGACGTCATCACCTCCACGTTACAACAATTGGAGTCGGTGTCACCATAGCACACAGCATTAATATCATCAGCATGTGCGTCAGGAATCGTTACAACCTACATGTGAAGCCATTAGGCGTGTGAAGTGAACAGGAATGTACTGATTGCGTATCATGAAACCACGTATTCAAATAAAGTACCTTAAAATAGTAATCTAACAAACAAAACAAAACTCACTCGGCTCATAGATTCCAAATCATAAATGTGCAAGTTTCGGTCAGATCCCCCACACAACACTTCATGCCCTCGTTTTGAAAACCGTAGAGAGAAAATAGCCATACTTCTGAAAAAGAATGATTGATCGCGTATTGCTACTAAGTGAACACCAGCTAACATTTGAGACTGCAGTTAACAGTGACTCGCTGAACGGTCAGTCCATGTTACACTCCATATGCTGAAGAAAAAAGGGTGGAAGGGGAGGTACTGGCTGTATTTCATGGCTTAGGATGCGTTCTCGTGGTAAATCCCATTTGCCGCAACTGCCATCCTGTCTCGTCCTAGACAAGGACATTTTTCCAATCGTCTCAATACGAAAAGATCCCACCAGAAGCGCAGCCGTCGCCCTACTCAAATAAAGTACGCAGCCATGAACTCTCCATATCCGGAATGTAGACGGGTAAATTTTACATTAAGACATAAACACTCACGCGTCTTGGCTGGGAATAGAGAGCTCCGTCCAACAAACACCTGTAGGATTATCCGCAGTGCATTCAGATAATCTGAAATCACCATCTAAAACCAAACAAAAAGGAAACAAACTGATTGACAACAATTCGAAAAAAGCGTAAGTATTAAGCATCAATGGGACCTTGCGTAAAATACAGAATCTTTCCAAGTTCCATAACACAGCGCATCTCCTTTCCGATTCACAGCAACATCAAGAATTGACCAAGTGGTTATCGGCACCTAAAAAGAATTTTATACGAGATAGAAACCATGTTCGCTATGCCACATTTCCAGTTTCCTTTTTTATTTATTTATTTGTCGTCACAGTGTGTCTGCGCTTAAATAATAGGACAGCCAAATTGAAAGCCGAAGACAATCGCATTTAGTGGAAGTGAATTAATCAACAAGCGGGTGAACCATAGTTATAAGCAGGAAGATAAAGCAGACCGTTACTATTGTATTACTTGTTAACGTGTCATCTCGGATTTATATCAAATAAAAGTGTATATTCGCGCTTAAGAAGTCTCAAATATGAGCCACAATCTTATCAACAGGTATCTTATCGCATCGGTGGTTGATCCTCATGCTTGATAAAATTGCTCTTCTCCACTCTATCTCATTCTACCAGGCTTAGGTTCGTGCTTCATTCAAAGTCGTTAAACGATTAATATTTACATACCAAACAATAACAACACAATATCGTAATATTAAAAGAATGCAAAAATGCTCGTTCTCTCTTTCCCTTGCTCACACATCTGTGACAAACTGTACAGTGGGAAAGGTGCTAGACTTGTCTCAATAACCGACAGTGTTCACACATCTGTACACGACACCAGAACGTAGAGAAAAGTAAATAATAAATAATGTGATGTGATGTAATATGAGTAATTTCTAGTTGTTCTGCCCAATGCACACAACTGCTGGATAGCTTCTGTATGTTGGGATTCTTTGGCTTTTTCGTTAATAACAAAGAAGTAGCCTAGTTTCCGTTTCATTCCCTTAGACAGAAATTGGACGATCACGGTGTTCCCTCCGTACTCATCAGTAAGGGAGTAAACCGAGAAACGAAATATATTATGTGAGTTATTACAATACTACAACTATTCAAAAACAGTAAAGAACTTACACGTATAGCATTCTTCAACAAATAGCGATCTCTCGACCCCCGTTTTTCAAAAAACCGAATGAACTCGTCTGAAGAAACGATTCTTGG